TTTTTTTTTATGAATTCAGCGCGATATAAAATATTCCACGAGAGTGTCCATTGTAGCTGCGCGATGGAATTTTTCACAAATTCGCAGAATCTCGGAATTAATTCTCCCGTCCCAGAGGTAGATCAAGTCGCGATATCCAAATGTATGAATTGTATCGTGTGAATGTTCTACAGAGATTTTCGCATTCCTTCAAAGCTGTGGGCCACTGGCAAAGAACATCCAAGACGCCCGTCGTAGTAAAGAGAGAAGAATAGGGAGAGGTAGCGGAGTGTGTTGGAGGAAAAGGAGGTCCGCGTGGGTTGGAACGTTGGTTGTAGAATTTTGGGAGAATTCTAGGGGATTGGTTGCGTCGGAGTGAACTTATGAAACGCCCAACCCTGTTACCGGTTGCGCCAAGCGAGATATTAAATTTCTGGAATTTTGTGGTTAGGCACGTCTACATGCCGACGGGTCTCTCTTTCTCTCTCTCTCTCTCTCTCTCTCTCTCTCTCTCTCTCTGTTTCTCTCTTTCTTTCTCTAAACGAATGGCAAACATGCAAAACGGTAGAAAAAGAGGCGCGCTTTCGATAGACCCAGATATCAATCTTCGCCGAAAATATGGCAGATAATCATTAGCAGCCATTGTCGAGTCTCAAAAGAAAATGATTCGTCTTCTGTGAAGTAAGAATAATCACTTATACTATTCGCTAAATCACCGATCGTCTATTTTTGTTTGATCCTTTATTTTTCTTCAATCAATGCTGCTTTAGGACCCCACATGCAAACACAGTGTTGTACCGATGTGTTTTCAATTGTCGCAAGCTCGTATTTGAAAAAATACCAAGCTTTAAGCGCGAAGTGATCGAGAGAGATGAGTTTCCCGGGAAACGATCGAGATTCGGTTGTCAAAAAGACACTGTGCAGATTTGGAAGCGAGCTGTCTCGGACTTGACGAACGTGTTTCCGACCCGAAACCGTTTACACGCGTTCTTTGCTACTTTGTGTTCTTGTTGGTCATTAAAGTGTTCCTTTTCCTTTATAAAATCATGTTTTTTTATCTCCGCGCGGGAGCACGAGAGTAACGCGAAAGTGCCAGTGTGATGTTCTCATGGAAAAGTAAAATATATAAGACATGACGGATTAAGAATCATTATTATTATTTTCAATATAATTAGAACAAAAACCATTACTATTATTTTCAATACACTATATCATTACTTTTATTTTCAATACAATTAATGTTTCTTTATAATAGGTATCAGCATCGAATCAGCGTTATTTAATACGCGAGTCTCGCGTGGCGAACGTTAATTCGTATCTTCGCCAGCGAGTAATTAAAATTTATTGTCGCCAAGCGTGGCGACAACAAGAACATCACCAGGACCTTATTTATAAATACCCGTATTACATTGTGATCTTACAGGGATGACCGGTAGCATGGGTCAAGCTATAGGCTCCTATTACACCGGTGCACCTTATGGTTCTCTTTCGGCTAGTATGGCAGCGGCCGCGGCAGCGGCTGCACAACAGTCAGCCGCCATGTCTGGTCTCGCGGCACCTGCTCAGGTAGGTCGATATTCTCTAGGTGTTCTTTTATGTCAAAATCAGCCTATATGTACGCGTATTTAATTCCCCGTGCTCTCTCCTGGATACATTGCTATTTAAAGTGTTGTCCTCTATTTTTTTTTCTTTTTGCTAAACGCGCCTAATTTTGCGTTACTGAACTTCTATATATAGATATAGCTATATCCTGCTTTATCAAATTACAGATTTACTTAAAAAGGTTTTATAATCAAACAAATTTAAAGAAAAACTAGATATTCATAAACATATAAATATTCGAAGAGAATGAAATAATTTCTGACGCAAATTCGTCAGAAAAGAATTTGAAAAATACATCAAAATACATTTCTACCTCAATCAATTTCTATATCAATTAACTAAACATTTTGCAGCAATACAGTCGCGACAATTACACATTCATTTATCCCGAAGAAAATTGGACAGTGGGGATAAATCCCCTTGAGAGACCATTAATCGCGTAAGTACACCAAAGGGGGGTAGGAAAAGGAAATCGCTCGCGTACATACGTTAGCACGTAAGCATGAACGCACGAAGAAGAGTCGATTCGGAAAGGAGGTGGAAGAATGAGGGTGGAAGCGCGGAAGGTATGTGGCGGGTGAGGGGGATGAGAGTGTATGTACGTTGCATTCGCTGTCGCAACAAAGGAGCCCCCGGGTGGCTTCGCAAACAGAAACCGGAGACCGTGGTCTGTGTATGAATTTCCGCAGCTGGCTACGGGAGACAAACAGATAGCTAGTTATTTCTGCATTCAACGGCTGAATGGCCGACGCGTCTGGAACGAGGCACCGGCGCGATACAAGCGACCATTATTGGCGAACATCGGCGGCGAGCGGCACGCTCGAAGAATTCCAGCGTTATCTTCGCCCGGCCGAGTTCGAGCTCTTCCTCTGTCCTCCCGCGACGCATTAACATCGCGAAAAGTGTCTGATCGCAAAATCTTAATAGTAAAAAAAAAGCCCACGTTAGCTCTCAATCAAAATTTAATTTAATTTAATCAAAATTAAATTAAAAGTCATCGTGAAGAAAAACCTCTCTTATTAATGCTTTCCAATGGCGTAGAGTAAAGACGGAACAAACTATCACGACTGTGAGAAGACAGACGAAAGAAATAAATGACACACACACATGTGGAACTGCTTAGATATGATTCTAAAATTGGATATATAGTTACGCAATAAATAAAATGATAGGCAAAGAGAGCTGAAAGAAGCTAAAGAGAAGAAAAGAAGCGAACGTTTTAAAAACAGGCTAAAGCATTTTGAAGAAAATAAAAGTTCAGTAACTATAGTAAGTGTCTACAATAAGGGTTTTAAGCCTTACACTCTGTAAGATATTCACTAATTACAATCGATTATTCTCCTCATATTCGACTTAGTCTATATTTCTTGCTACTTAGAACTTAAAATCCTCATTGTAGACCGACACTAAATTGAAACTCCATATACATACAACACGATCACGTTTCTTTAACTTCGGAGGAAAATTAATAAAGTACACGGAAAACATTTTTGCATGATTATGTTGCATGAGATATTTAAAAATTTCAGTGGTTACAGATCTGAAAATAAGTTTGTTGGATCATCAAAATAATTAGCAACCAGTTTGAACGTCCTACATAATTATTTTAGTAGTCCAATAAAATTAGTGAAGCCAAATTTTTTCTGTATACAAAGTTTACATTACAGTAGCGATACAACGAGAAGAGTTAGCAAATATAACATTGAAATTGGTCTTATCGCCGTTATCATGGTAATTAATTAAAAAATAAATCAATCTCACATCGACGGCCTATAAGAATCACATTTCATCGATACTCTCTCGCGTGCAAAATCTTCTGAGAAGGAAGCGAGGTCTCTTACAAAATGTTGAAGCGTCTGAAAATATCGAGGGCCGATAGCACAATACCGGCAATGCGAGGGAGTTGACTTTCTTGCTCTCTGTGCTCTCCCACCGGCCCGAGGCCATTTGGAAAATAAAGTGCGCTCATTCTCTTTCGCTCACGACTTCGACGACACATGGCGCGAAAGGAGAATGCCGGTCTTTTGTGAACGAAAACAGAGGCGTATAGTGTACGGTGTCATTGTCCTTTTTAACAGTGACATCGCGCTGGATAATTAAGTCCCTGAGAAGCGACGGCGTAGAGTGAAGACGGAACAAACTATCACGACTGTGAGAAGACAGACGAAAGAAATAAATGACACACACACACACACACACACACACACACATGTGGAACTGCATAGATATGATTCTAAAATTGGATATATAGTTACGCAATAGATAAACATGACTGTATCTCCATATATAACTCTACCTTTTCAGAACTTCCGGCAAATGACACATGTGGAACTCTATAGATATTCTAAAATTGGATATAATTACGCGATAGATAAACCTAACCATACCTCTATATAACTCTACCTTTTCAGAATTTCCGAATTTATATCGTAGAATTTACTTTATCTCGAATAAATCGCGAAAGTTTGATAAGCTACTTTAGAAAAATAATTTGGATAGATTTCGGTAGATCGAATTAAGTCTCTCAAAACGGTATAAAGTGTAAACATAACTATATCTCTATATAACTCTACCTTTTCAAAATTTTCGAATTTATATCGTAGAATTTACTTTATCTCGAATAAATCGAGAAAGTTTGATAAGCTACTTTAGAAAAATAATTTGGATAGATTTCGGTAGATCAAATTAAGTCTCTCGAAACGGCATAAAAGTGAAGACAAAATAAACAATCTCACGCGCAACATCTCTACAAACAATAAATAATAACTGTAAATAAATAAATTAATTACTTAATCACCAAACTAACAATATAAAAGCAGATGGATTACAGATATAAAGAGATAAGTGATGTGATAAAACAAAAAGCCGCGGCGTGAAAGATAGAGAAGAAGAAATTTTATAGAAGTGGGCATGCAGCATATTGTGAATATTTGATACAGGAAAAGAGACAACACGGAACTTACAGAAGCGATGCAAAGGAAAGGATAAGAGGTCATAATAACAGAGTTAGAAAAAGAGTCAAGGGAGTACAAAAAGGAATGCAGAGGAATTTAAGTAGGAATTCACGCAGATAACGAGTGTTGGAATGAAAAAGACAAAATACAAGACAGCACAAGTGGAGTTGCAAAATGGTGTTGCATTTTGAGCCATCCAGAGTTAAAATAAAGAGGGGATATGTGATATACTTAGGACAATAAGAAAAATGAAAACAGGATACATTTAATACGATTCAGTAATTGCAGGTTAATCCTAGGACGCCAGATTCTTTTTTTGCTCACCATCTTTTTTTTTCACACCACTGCATCCAATTAAAAAATGAACTGAATATCTGCGCACGTGTTCTCAAAGCTTGAAGCTTGAAAAGTTTTTTTTTCACGGTATTGCTAACTTTGAAAATAAAAAAAATTATCTGACATTCGAGGGAGTTGAAGTTCCTAACAGAGATCCTTGATTGGCGTGCTAGGGTTAAAAGTAGGAATATGTATAATATTGGCATAATCAAATAGGGAAATAACTAATTTATGAGATACATACATCTGTATATACATGTGAGGACACACAAGTGTAAACTCGTATAGGCAAACGTACGAATGGGATCTCATGAAAATACTTTCAAACATTTTTAATCCACTTAATACATCAGGTGTCAACTGGTGTGTGTTAATTAAAGAAGATGCGAACGCATAAAGGAAACGGCAAGAAGAATTCTTTGCAAGTGGAATATCTTTAATGCGTCGAACAAAAATTCTAATAAGAGCTAAAGTGCGCTGTACTCGCCCGCGAATAGTATCACATCTTCGGCTTCAACGCGAATACCTCAACGTCGCGCGGCGAGGGGGACTTTTTTTTTAATTTCTGGACATCGTTACGCAATTTGCAGATTGCAGCGAGGTGAGATTTTCGAGGCGAAAGAAGCTGAGCTGCAATCAATTGGTCATAGCGCGGGCGGAGGGACTAAGACTGAATGTAAATCATCTGGACAAAGCCGCTTAACGACCCGACAAAGGATCCCTTGCTTTAGTGCTTCGTCCACGAATATAGAATCGGGAATATCTGCAATAATGCTATACGCAGCCTCTCTTCTCCTTTTTTTTTTCTTTTTTTTTTTTTTTAGCACCGGTCTCTCGAGCCGGTCCTTCTCTTCAACTCTCGCGGCAGCCTGGTCCAAACCGCGCGTTTGGCCCAACGTGACGAAATTTATGGCCATTGGCAGCGTTGTCTTCGACGTAGAACAAATCTCCGGTCCCGGGGTCGCGCGGATCTCCACCGATTTCGCGATTTGCGCGCCGACCGAATCGAATGCGTTGACTCACGAATTTGTCGCTTGGCCCTTTTTGTTCATTCGCGACGGTGTCGCGTTTTCGGTGTTCATTTTCTTCGAGATTCGAGAACGTCAGGCGGAGAAGCGAACTAATAGCGCGCTAATATAGTAGAGCGCACTTTAGATTTTATTAGAACCGTTGGAAGTTCGACGCATTAAAAATATTCTACCTGTAAGCGGGGAATTCCTCTTAGCATTTCCTCTAGGCAAAAAATCTTACATAAAGCATATTCCTCTATTTGTATTTAAAAAAAGTGGATGTATGAGTTATGATCGAGAGATAAATTTCACTATAGTAACTCGAATAGCCTCTTAAAATAAGAGGATATGCAAGATATTCGCGCCACCCTCATTTGTTAGAAGAAGATTGTCATTTATTTGTCGCAATGTGCACATCACTGCACACAAGGCAGTGAAGATTGTGCGAGCGTGCGAGCATTGGCGAGTTGTTCTCAATGCAGTGTTTCAGTGCTTTTTGAAATAAACGAAGGATTTTAAAAAAGGCACATTTGAGCGACTGTTGACCTGCATTTGAGAGCGGATATTTTTTCTTAGGATATAATATTTCTAAATTGCTTCTGCTTGTAGTTGCATGATTATAATCATTGATTTTTTATGGATTACACGATATAAGTAGAAAATGTTAAACAAATAGGAGAAAAAGAATATTAAGGAATATATATTTCTGACTATATTTTTTTCCATTATATGTAACAAAAAGAGACCGAAATAATTCGAACTCCACTTTCTCTAATCAGCATATGATAATCAGGTATAAATTAATGTTTAGTAAGATTAAAAGTAGAAAATATTTGTTTTAAAATATCGTTTTAAATGCTCTAAATAAGAATAATATTCGATTTACAAGAAGGCGAGATTCTTTTTGCATTAAAAGGAGTGCATTTTTATTCAAATTCAACATCTCATTACTATTCGATATTTCTCTATCTAGAATTTTTCTGAACAATTTGATTTCCAATTAGATATACATTCAATCCGATTATATATATATATATACGTGGAACCTATAAGAATGTTTAAAAATAATAATACCGTTCGGATCGTTAGACCGTTTTTTTCCCTGTTTCTGTTACAGATGGTAGGCTCAATGGACGCCATGAAGTACTCTATGGAGGCGGACAAATATCGCGCCGCCTATATGCCGCCCAGCACTCTGGCAATGAGCATGTATCCAGATCCCAAGTACCTAGATTCCTCCAATCCTAAGAATACAGTCCCCTATCTTGACCGCACCTACCTGGACGCGAAGGCATATTTCGAGCAGTCGAAGCTGTACATGGATCAGAAGCCGAGCATTGAATACAATCGGCCCAGTTACGAGCCCAACAAGCTCTACGAGGAGTCCAGCCCGAACAGCGTCGTCGGGGGAAGCGGACCCGCGAGGTCACCGCCCGCGGAATCGCCGGACACGAGCAAGCAGCACGAGAGGACGGAGCAGGGCTCGTCCAGCGCGAGTTCAACGTCGACGTCGTCGGTCGCGAGCCCCGGCGCGACTCTGCCGGCGTACTATCCCGGATCGGTCCAAGCCAGCGGCCTGCTGAATTCGCAGATGGGCCAGTACGGTGGATACCAAATGGCACCGACAAACGAGATGATTGCAACCCGACGGCCGTTGACGGTGATCTTGTGACCCGACAGGACGTAGCTCTGATCGATCTTCGAGGAACAACTGCTGTGACGGCTACCGCGGACTCCATGAAACGAGACGACGGTGCCCGACGGAAGCACAGGCCTTTCCGGATATCATCAATCGCGGTTCCGATGATTCGAAAAAAAAAAAAAGATGGGATGTGACCGAGCAAGAAGAAGAAGTCGAACGATTCAATTTATATGTGTCTCTCTCGCGATCCGTGATGATCGTGGATTTAACAAGACGAAAATCGATACGTTACGTATGATATGTAGCGGTCAACTGCTCTCTCACACGTACGGAATTACGTATCGTCGATCATGAAATCTTACCGGAGACTTATCGCGCTACAATCAAAGGCGCGGACACGAGCTGGGATGGTAAAAGAAATTATCAGAAGCAAGATCGATGGACAGGATAATAACTCGGATTATCTCTTTGTGAAAGGCTCTGGAGCTTGTACAAAGAATCATTATTACAATCGTTATCATTTACCTACAGAAGTGAATCATGTATCCGACGTGATGATTTTAATATGGATTCCTGCGAAACAGATTTTGTCACCTCCTTCTTCACATTTAATTTCCAATCTTCTGTTACAAAATCGAGACATATATGGGACGATGATCGGACTTGAGACCTTGAGAATATAAATCCATCGTTCTCACACAGAACAAAATGTGGCGCGAGAAGCTACGCGTCGGCTTTCGGTGCCAGAGACCCAGATTTAAATCCACCCAGAACAATGTAACTCTAAATCGATTTCAATCGATTGTGGATAAGATCCGGGCTCTTACAAGAAGAGCCGTAAGTGTACATGCCGGTGTTTAAGCTCAAATCAGAGTACCCTATTTGCCAGATTTGAGCCTTGTAAGGACCAATCTTAATTTATTACGGTGTGCCTAATCATGTCCGTATCAGGCATCAGAAATTGTCGCATTTTATTTCTGCTTCGGAAAGCGTCTGCTTTCTGTGCCGAAAACCTAGCATGTTACTGGAAAATGATATACACTGACGATTAGTGATAATTCCACTGATTCACTTTTACAGAGACTTGCGAAAATTTTTTAAATGGTCTTACAATCGGTTTAAACCTTTGAAAGTTAAATAATTAAAGTGACTAATAAATTACGTAGGATCCGTACACTGCTGTATGACGAGACATTTGTCACCCTACGGTACTCAAGTGCCATAAGATCATGCTGGCTGCGTGCTCTGACCTACTTTTGGACTTTATTTTTCAATCAGACATGCGAACATCAAACAATCCTGTTCAAAGACGTCAAGTATTCGGAAATGAAGCCGAGAGTACCTCTGCCAAAAGGATATCTCTTCTAACAGGCCGTTTGAAACATCGGAACCGGCGTTGCAGAAATAAACGTTGAAACTTACGTGGCAACATATATATATATCGAGATTACGCAACAAAACATGGTGACGTATATGTATATCGGAGATTATGCAACAAAAAGAGAGGCAGTGAATGCATGGAAAATTATAAACACACGTACGTATGCGCTTATCATCAAATTCACTTACCTGTGAATCTGTAAGTCTGAATTGGAAAGAGTCGAGATTAAAGTTATTTAAGCACAAAGTGAAGTTAATGAAACATTATGTAGCATTTATGTTCGATTCCAAAGCTCGTGGACTTTTCTACAATGAAACTAATGTAGAATCAGAAATATTTAAAGAAGAATGATTAAAGAAAGAAGTTGCATTATGCTTCGTATTATTTTATGTTCTGGAGTTTATGCATCGTGGTAAAACAAACGTGATGGAAGGATCAGGTGGGCGATCTGCTAAAAGTTACGGAGATACTGCAAGTAAAGGGCCTAATGATGGAAGGTAGCAGAAAACAGAAGCGGTATCACTGAACTGTAATTAATATTAGAAGATGCACGAGCATTCCGAGAGGGACGATCGCTAGAGCGGTACAGTCGTAGCAACGCATAGTAACAGCCTTATCACTGCATACGTTCAAATTACCACTCAACTTTGGTGAAAATAAAAATCGGAGCGTAAGTCGAACGTGAGGGGAAAGTGACAGAAGCGTAAACGAAACTTCTACGAGGCGAAAATTGGAATGTTAAGGAACCGCCGAAGACCCGAGTTTAAATCCGACCAGAGACATCGGAGTTTTATTCGATCGCTGTCTCTTGATGGGCAATGGGAAAAATCACCGAGAGTAAAATCTTGCGTAAAAATTAAAACCCCTCTAATTAGGAATTTAAAAAGGGATTAAAATCACATACTTTTATATCGAATTTTTATTCGAGCGCTACCTCTCAGAAGGCAATTGGAAAACCGTCGAGAGTATATCCTGTCATAAGAATGCCCTCTAATTAGGCCGCTCGGAACCGACTGTATAAGTCCCCGTATATATGTAAATTGTAAATAGCGCACATCGCAGAAATACGTTGAGGGATCGCCACGCTTCTGACAAGAGGCAAGAAAGTCAAAGGAAGAAGATATGAAGTGAAGAACAATTGTAATCAAATGTATGTCGGCCTGACTGACGTCTCCTACATAAAGAAGAACGAAAAATCATCGCAGTCATATGTTGAAGATATCAAATGATGTAACGATAATAGAAATGGGAATAGCTATAAATTACATTTCTAATAAACCTCATAAAATCGAAGCGAACATGTGGGGTGAGGATTCGAACTCGAGACCACCGATCTGGAAAAATCTGTTATCGACTAAGGAAGATTGAAGTATTTTCCTGAACAGCAGGATATACTCAACAACATCGCTCTAGCAGCAGAATTAGACCTGGCTAATGGACGACTTCGGAGGACGACTAACGACATGTTACGTTGAAGCGTTATTGCAGACGACAACGAAGACCGCGAGAGGACTTTCGCTGTGTCTGACTAGTGATATTCAAGATTCAAATATTAAAAATCGTTTTGTATATAGTGTACATAAGTGGCGATCGTGGCGCAGGGCGCTGCGTGGCAGCTTGCTGTGCCGAGGATCCAGGTTCAAAAACCACCCAGAAGGCAAGAACTACGGTGCTCTGGAATGCGCTGTCAGTGATCTACACGGCATTTGGCGGCGCAAATCGGAAACACGGTCTCTGGAAAGCGATCGCCACCTCTCGGAAAGGCAAGGCAAAACCACCGAGAGTATTCCTGCCAAATAAGGACATCCCCTAGTAAAAAAAGAACTACTAGTGCAGTAAAAACACTACTGAAATGTAGTAGTGTTATCACCGCACTAGTAGTTCTTTTTTACGAGGGTCCGATGTAGTGTACATAATAAGAATTGAGAACTAGCGTAGCAAAAAGAATTGGCTTCTTTTGGGTTTCCGAACGCGAATCCGCTTTCTTACGGTCTCACCATCTAGTAGCGACCCAAAGACTCGTAATCCTTAGGAGGAGAAAGCAGTACAAATGGAATCATGTGCGCGCGTGGTGTCCAAGAGTCTAACGTAAGTGTTCCGATCTTGTCTGGAAGAATGAGACGCGATACTTACATAAACGTACATAATCTTACATAAAAAAAAATTAAACGTGGAGACGTCGAGTACGAGTCAAGCAAATTTTTCATTAAAATCACATTTTATTATTGACTTTATTAAACAGACGTACGCAATGGCTACTTTACACAACTTTTTTGTTAACTTATTTTAATTTGTTCATCGTTTTTTCTTTTGTACTCTTTCTTTTATTGCACTAACTAAATTTTATTGTCGCTGACTCATTTGGACTTATTGTGACATTTTATTATTTATCTTACACATCGCTATTTTTAAATATGTACGTATATCCTAAAATACGTGTCGAAAGTATCGTTTAGTCAGTTTGATACTTGGAATTTGAACAAATATGTATATTACTTGGGTGACTAAACAGCATGCAAACACAAATAAATACTACTAGTATTTTGAATAAAATAATTTAATTGAGTTGGTTTTACTTAAAATTAAAAAATTTTGATGATTGACATGAATAAACTATACTTTTCTTTGTACAACTAAAGAATAAATTGTTGAATCAACCATTGTACCAAACAACTATACAAATTTAATTCGTACAATCAATTTTTTTTTCTCAGTGTATAAACGATTTACCTAGCTAAAAGTTTCACGTCGTGATACCATTAATTCCGGAAAATTCATTACTGTTTTCCAAGATAGGCATAACTTAAACGACAGAATGCGGTCGTAATTTTCACGTCTGCCATGCATTCACGTAAACCATACACATATCGGCGGCAAAGAATACAATATCTATAACAAATTCAAAATCTAAAATCTTTTCGATGGTTTCATAGAACATTCAGAGCCTCTCATTCGAGCATATTCGACCATGGCGATTGACAGGCTCGTGCTAACGTGAGCTATTCAATTTCTATTCAATTTTGGATCTACTTTGGCCCCATTGGGTCAATTCTTAAAAAAGAATATACTTAACGCCTATTAGTACACGAAAAAGAAAACACAGAATGAGAAAAGAGTATAAAAGCAGATAATAATGACAGATGGCTCAAAAAAAGAGCCGAAACGTTCAAATCTAATTATAACTTTGTCACAGTTAATAATATGTGTTAATTTATTTCTGCGCACCAATTATCGCGCCGATAATCGTACTCGCCGTCTCCATATTTAATTTTTTGTTTAAATTTTCAAGTCCTACTCTACATTTATGTATTTTAACTTTTTCTTTATTCCCCACACTTTCATTGATATTACTTGAGTCGTGAATGTATAGTAAATCTTGTAAATAATTGTATTATAAGTTTCAGTCGCGTATTATTCGAAAAAATTTGTTGACAATGTTTTTTAATTGCTTCGATTGTCGTCATAAATTTTTTATCATAAATCGCATTGCGTATTCATAATAATAACAAATAATTCTTTTTAGATAATTTTTAGATTACTTTTTGAATTACTTTTGAAAATTTCTGATAATTGTTTTGTTACCATTAATTAGAATCTATTACAAAAAAATAATTACAAAAATTATTATAAAAAAAAATTTATTATGTTTTTACCAAAATGTATGGAACATACAATTGTATGAACCTATGGCGGTTTTCCTTGGGACTGCAGCAGTGCAATGTTTCCATAAAAGCAATGTTAAAGTCTGCTCTGTGAAAACATTGCGCGAATGCAATCTTAAAGGAAAAAAAAACACCATTG